TGTTTTAGATTAACGGTTGTGTGCACGGACAGACAAAAAGGTTCAGATAAACAGCTGAGTGCACGGACAGACCACATGTGTCAGGTAAACAGTTGTGTGCACGGACAGACCATAAGCTTCCGGCAAACAATTGTGTACACGAACAGACCACATGCTTCATGTAAAGAGTTGTGTGCACGAACAGACAAAAAAGCTTCAGTTAAAGAGTTGTGTGCACGAACAGACCACATGCCTCAGGCAAACAGTTGTGTGCACGGACAGACCACATGCTTCAGGTAAAGAGTTGTGTGCACGGACAGACCACATGCTTCAGGTAAACAGTTGTGTGCACGGACAGACCACATGTTTCAGGTAAAGAGTTGTGTACACAGACAGACAAAAAGCTTCAGGTAAACAGCTATGTGGACGGACAGACAAAGGGCTTCAGGTAAACAGGTGTGTGCGCGGACAGACCACATGCTTCAGGTAAACAGTTGTGTGCACGAACAGACAAAAAAGCTTCAGTTAAAGAGTTGTGTGCACGAACAGACCACATGCCTCAGGCAAACAGTTGTGTGCACGGACAGACCACATGCTTCAGGTAAAGAGTTGTGTGCACGGACAGACCACATGCTTCAGGTAAACAGTTGTGTGCACGGACAGACCACATGTTTCAGGTAAAGAGTTGTGTACACGGACAGACAAAAGCTTCAGGTAAACAGCTATGTGGACGGACAGACAAAGGGCTTCAGGTAAACAGGTGTGTGCGCGGACAGACCACATGCTTCAGGTAAAGAGTTGTGTGCACGGACAGACCACATGCTTCAGGTAAAGAGTTGTGTGCACGGACAGACCACATGCTTCAGGTAAAGAGTTGTGTGCACGGACAGAAAATAAGCTTCAGGTAAACAGTTGTTAGTACGGACAGACAAAAAGCTTCAAGACAGTTGTGTGCAAGGACAGACCACATGCTTCATGTAAACAGCTATGTGGACGGACAGACAAAGGGATTCAGGTTAACAGTTGTGTGCACGGACAGACCACATGCTTCAGGTAAACAGTTGTGTGCACGGACAGAACACATGCTTCATGTAAACAGCTATGTGGACGGACAGACAAAGGGATTCAGGTTAACAGTTGTCTGAACTGACAGACCAGAAGCTTCAGGTAAACAGTTGTGTGCACGGGCAGACAATGGGCTTCAGGTAAACAGTTGTCTGCACTGACAGACAAAAAGCTTCAGGTAAACAGTTGTCTGCACGGACAGACCATATGCTTCAGGTACACTGTTGTGTGCACGGACAGACAAAAAGCTTCAGGTAAAGAGTTTTTGCAAGGACAGACAAAGAGCTTCAGGTAAACAGTTGTGTTCACGGACAGACAATGGGCTTCAGGTAAACAGTTGTCTGCACTGACAGACCAGAAGCTTCAGGTAAACAGTTGTGTGCACGGACAGACAAAAAGCTTCAGGTAAACAGTTGTCTGCACTGACAGACCAGAAGCTTCAGGTAAACAGTTGTGTGCACGGACAGACAAAAAGCTTCAGGTAAACAGTTGTCTGCACTGACAGACCAGAAGCTTCAGGTAAACAGTTGTGTTCACGGACAGACAATGGGCTTCAGGTAAACTGTTGTCTGCACTGACAGACCAGAAGCTTCAGGTAAACAGTTTTGTTCACGGACAGACAAAGGGCTTCAGGTAAACAGTTGTGTGCATGGACAGACAAAGGGCTTCAGGTAAACAGTTGTCTGCACGGACAGACAAAGGGCTTCAGGTAAACAGTTGTGTGCATGGACAGACAAAGGGCTTCAGGTAAACAGTTGTCTGCACGGACAGACAAGGGCTTCAGGTAAACAGTTGTCTGCACGGACAGACAAAGGGCTTCAGGTAAACAGTTGTCTGCACGGACAGACAATGGGCTTCAGGTAAACAGTTGTGTGCATGGACAGATCAAGGGATATTGTGACAGTTCGATATTTTTCCAGTGTCCAAGTCTCATATTTTTAAACTTGTTGAATTGTAAAATGATTACATTAGATCAAGAGAAAATTAATGTTAAGAAGAATATTAAAGCTGGTTAAATGTTATATTGATATATTCTGCAAACGGCTTCTTCAATTTCATAATTCTGATAATGGTCTCTCGGGGTTTTCTTGCAGCAACTTAGTTTCCAATGCATCATCTCGGCTTCTTTGAAGGGCCTGGATTCAGCGGGTCTTCAAAGAAATGCTTCCTTACCGAAATACGTAGATCTCTTCACTCTTTACTCCATTTGATCTGGAGAGGGAAATTTTAATTTGATTAAGTCCACGTGTTCCCGAAATACCCTGAGCTGTCCTGTGATCGCTATCTCTCCTCTCTCACCACACACTCGGGCTCACGGGAACTCAACCGGAAAATCTACACCATTTATTTTGTTTCTAACAGCAATAAAACAACAAATAATCGTCATGACTTCTTATTTTCTCCTTGAAACACGTGCAAACCGTGATTTTCTTCACGCGATTTCCATCCACTACCGTGACGGGGGTGTTTGTTTACACGTGCGTTTTATGTAACGTGAAATGTGGCACTCTAAGACTATTGCGACTTCTCAAATTAAACTTCAGGATGAAAAACAGACATAGACTGGTGAGGCCTTTTGAAAGTGAAAACTACAACTGTGACATGTGGATTAAAACTTAGTGCATGCCATGATCACATCAAATAATACCGTCGTCTAGTCGTGACAAAACATCATACGGTCATAGCAGAAATAGGACAAGTATGTCTTTATCTAGGCTCACATATAGACCCTGAAATAAACTTATGTATAAGATTAAAAAAAGACAACTCTATAAAAGAACAGAAAGGGTATGAGTGTTGGCTGCTAGATCTGAGAAGGGGATGAAAATGTTATGAAATATACTAACGGAAAAAAGTAACTGTGCTTCATTTAAAGTTCAATAAAAACAAATTATTCTGAAATTAAATAATGCATCTTTCAATATATATTCATGAAGACATCTCCTCGACTTTAAGGTCGTGATTCAAAATTTACACGTGAACGTTCATGCACGGCGCACAATTTGGATGTTTAGGCGTATATTGGGAGAATGATACTCATACACGTGGTTCTTTAATGTGAACAGCACACAACGACTGTTCAGCTATTAGGTGCTCATAAAAACATTCAGCGTTTAAGCGTAAATAACACTTACCTAATGCCATGGCTTGCTGAAGTCAACGTCTCCGCGCCGTTGGTACCCTGCAAACAGCAATGGCGCAAAACGAAGTTATCTGACATTTAATGTTTACAATAGTTTGATTGTTTGTTTGTTTGTTTGTTTGTTGTTTAACATCGAGCATGTCGCGAGCATCGATCTACGAAATTAGGATACGATAACATGCATCAACTAGAAAGTGTTTTTACTCGTAAAAACATATGTCTCCCCCCACTCCCCTAACCCCCATTCATTCGTTTACTTCACGTTAAACCCCATCTCTTCATTCCCACCCTCCATTACTAAATAACAGAGAAAAAATAAACCTCCTAGAAATTTCAAACAACTAATGGGCACCACTTCAGGGTCTAATCAACACCACTAATCCCTCAATCATTTACCCACCTGACAATGTAGTCATCTAAGTAGCACAGTTTTCTTGTTACTGAAGTATTTGTAGAAAATCCACTTGAAGTACTAATAGAGTTTGGACACAAATATATTAATATCCCCAACATATCAGAAATGATGTAGCAATGTTATATGGCACAAAGGAAAGTCTCTGTGATGTAATTGCCCGTGTATCTGACTCTGCAGGTCTTCTACACAATGACATATGTGATGTCATGGAAACTGTAATAGCAAAAGGCACCACTTCAGTGCTGGGTTAATGTGTATACAAAGTTTCGCGAAAAAATATTAAACGGTTTCCGAGTTATGGTCAGGAAACAAAGCTTACCCCCATTCAGAGCCTATGTTCAACTTATCTCCATGGAAACGAGAAAAAATAAAAATGTCAAAAATCTCTAAATAGCAAAAGGCACCACTTCAGTGCTGGGTTAATGTGTATACAAAGTTTCGCGAAAAAATATTAAACGGTTTCCGAGTTATGGTCAGGAAACCAAGCTTACCCCCATTCAGAGTCTATGTTCAAGTTATCTCCATGGAAACGAGAAAAAATAAAAATGTCAAAAATCTCTAAACAGCAAAAGGCACCACTTCAGTGCTGGGTTAATGTGTATACAAAGTTTCGCGAAAAAATATTAAACGGTTTCTGAGTTATGGTCAGGAAACAAAGCTTACCCCCATTCAGAGCCTATGTTCAACTTATCTCCATGGAAACGAGAAAAAATAAAAATGTCAAAAATCTCTAAATAGCAAAAGGCACCACTTCAGTGTTGGGTTAATGTGTATACAAAGTTTCGCGAAAAAATATTAAACGGTTTTTTATGAGTTATGGTCAGGAAACAAAGCTTACCCCCATTCAGAGCCTATGTTCAACTTATCTCCATGGAAACGAGAAAAAATAAAAATGTCAAAAATCTCTAAATAGCAAAAGGCACCACTTCAGTGCTGGGTTAATGTGTATACAAAGTTTCGCGAAAAAATATTAAACGGTTTCCGAGTTATGGTCCGGAAACCAAGCTTATGGTCCGGAAACGGTGGGAACGCCGACGCCGACGCCGACGCCGACGCCGACGGGAACCGTGCCAAAAACAATATGTCTCCCTCCATTCTGGGGGAGAACTAACAAGTCAGCGAGCCTGACCACCCGATCCCGTTATAATAGTCGTGTGTAATAACGCCGTATTGTAATGGTTTGGGGGTGGCATCACAACTTATGGAACAACACAAATCATAATTGTTAATGGCAAGTTGAATAGCGTACGCAACCCGGATGACTTCGTTCAAGATCATGTTCTACCCTTAGTGCAAATGCGGGACGTTGCAGCGGGATGATGCCCGCCCACATGTTGCACGTGTTGTAACAGACGTTTTGATGCATCTTAACACTGCTGTACTGCCATGGCCGGCTGTTCACCAGACCTCTCCCCCATAGAACATGTCAGGGATGAGATGGAGAGACAGCACCAGAACCAGCCCGTAATGCTCCCTCAGTTGGCCCAATCTTTCATTGACATTTGGACCAGCAACCCCAGACTGTTTTGAATCGTCTGGTGTCTCCAATGCAACGCCGCTGCCCCGCCTGTATCAGCGCAGATGAGGGACATATTGAACATACAAGTACTATACAAGACTTTAGACTTGAATTGCTGCACAGATAGACCCCTCTCTGCAGCGGGACATACAAGACTTGCTAGCTATCCTGTCAGAGAAATACCAGTGTATATTATACAGCGCTGACTGAAGAGATATTTTGACTCGCCCCTTTTCAAGAACATTTGAAATGGTCGGTCGCTGAACAAAAGACACCGTGGCGGTATCATGTTAACTAATTATCATGGATCGCGTATCTCCTTTACATAATTGTTTATCACTGTTGACCGATGTGACACATGTGTTGCATTTTGTCGGTTGTTGTGTGACTTTAAGCTCGACATGCGTCTATTGTCTCCACTGTCAGTAGCTTGGTACTTTACCTTGGGAGGAGGTCACATCAGAGTTCAGCATTCTGGCCTTTCCAAAACATCTGATTTGTGTGTAAAATGGGTTCTTCCATAATGTTGTCAACGTGCTTTGTCTATTCCCTGGAGTGTGTAAAAACATGATGAAAGCCACTGTATTTCCTAATTAGTAATTACATTTAGAAATTACAATGGACTAGTTTTGGGGTTGTGGTGGAACTTGTGTCATCCTATTGAGTACATCTTGACCCTTGTAGCGCGAGGCGGACAGTCAGCCCCAAACCCCACGCCGTCTTTGTGGAGTCTTTCACCAGTGTTCACTGCCAATTTTCGGTGGCTTGTCGACCAAAATCAAACTCGTAACAGCTGAGTGACCGACTCAATGCGACGAAAGTCTATCGGCAGCCGCAGAAATGGCACAACTTGCACATAAAGGTTATCGGTATCAAGGTCACGAAACATTATCAAACATGAAAAAAACAGATTGCTGCATGGCGTGCTAAGACCTTCAGTAAGAGTCTGTCTCTATGTTTCATTTGGTGTGGTTGGCGCATGCATACATCTGTCTGTGATCGGAATACGAGCGTCGTGATTTGGTTGTCTGTTGTATTGACAGAAGTACTAGAAACCAGATCACCATGCAGGGCACCACGACCACTCGGCCTGGACAGGTTGCAAATACTACACGACTGCGTCTTCCAAATGCAGGGCTTTCATTATTATTATTGTTTAGTCCAATCTACGAAAAGAACATCAATCCTTAGTCATCGTAAAAAATTATTGCGATTCATTGAAGCTCTGTGACCATATATTTCAACTCTCGATATGAACGACAGCTATTGTAGTCATCGCTCCGGATAACGTTGACCCCTTTGTTGTTCACAAGAGTAAACATGGACAACGCCTGCCGCTTTGACGGAGAGAAGCAACAAGCAGGGGGTCAGACGCCGACCCTGTCTGACACCAGTCACACATCAGCCTGGATTAACAATGTTTGATTTGCCACTTGTCTTTAGGAGTATTCTGTCAGCTAATTGGACGTGGTATCAAGCTATCCTTATGGAAACTTGCGGTGTGCTTGAGCACACATCACTGGACGTGCGTGTTTATTCATGGATTCCCGTTTCTTTTGAAGGTGGCGTGCAAGAAAATGTAATTGAGCGTGCAAAGCGAGAGAGCAAAGCCGTTTGAAGCAAACTACAACTATTTGTTCGTCGTGTTTGCACGAACATCACGTAATAATCTCACATTGTATCTAACACGCTAACAAACAGCCGGTAGAAAGTGATGTAACAATCCTTGATAGAATACCGTCTTCCTTCTGTTATACATTGTGCTGTCTAGCTTGGGAGATATTTCTAAGGCCTTTGTGACATAAGGCACAAATGCTTTCCATAGCGTGGTTGAGAATCGTCGTGTGCCTCCATATTGAGGGAGACATGTCAAATGAAAACGTGGTTAAACAGTAATGACATGCAGGAAGTGTTGTCACACAATCTGTATTTCGAACCTTCCACATATATCTACCACGTGTTGTCTTTTCGAACCTTCCACATATATCTACCACGTGTTGTCTTTTCGAACCTTCCACACATATCTACCACGTGTTGTCTTTTCGAACCTTCCACATATATCTACCACGTGTTGTCTTTTCGAACCTTCCACACATATCTACCACGTGTTGTCTTTTCGAACCTTCCACATATCTACACGTGCTGTCTTTTCGAACCTTCCACACATCTATCACGTGTTGTCTTTTCGAACCTTCCACATATCTACACGTGCTGTCTTTTCGAACCTTTCACATATCTATCACGTGCTGTCTTTTCGAACCTTCCACATATCTATCACGTGTTGTCCTTTCGAACCTTCCACATATCTACACGTGCTGTCTTTTCGAACCTTTCACATATCTATCACATGCTGTCTTTTCGAACCTTTCACATATCTATCACGTGCTGTCTTTTCGAACCTTCCACACATCTATCACGTGTTGTCTTTTCGAACCTTCCACATATCTACACGTGCTGTCCTTTCGAACCTTCCACATATCTATCACGTGCTGTCTTTTCGAACCTTTCACATATCTATCAAGTGCTGTCTTTTCGAACCTTCCACACATCTATCACGTGTTGTCTTTTCGAACCTTCCACATATCTATCACGTGCTGTCCTTTCGAACCTTCCACACATCTATCACGTGTTGTCTTTTCGAACCTTCCACACATCTATCACGTGTTGTCTTTTCGAACCTTCCACACATCTATCACGTGTTGTCTTTTCGAACCTTCCACATATCTATCACGTGCTGTCCTTTCGAACCTTCCACACATCTATCACGTGCTGTCCTTTCGAACCTTCCACATATCTATCACGTGTTGTCTTTTCGAACCTTCCACACATCTATCACGTGTTGTCTTTTCGAACCTTCCACACATCTATCACGTGTTGTCTTTTCGAACCTTCCACACATCTATCACGTGCTGTCCTTTCGAACCTTCCACATATCTATCACGTGCTGTCCTTTCGAACCTTCCACATATCTATCAAGTGCTGTCTTTTCGAACCTTCCACACATCTATCACGTGCTGTCCTTTCGAACCTTCCACATATCTATCACGTGTTGTCTTTTCGAACCTTCCACACATCTATCACGTGCTGTCCTTTCGAACCTTCCACATATCTATCACGTGCTGTCCTTTCGAACCTTCCACATATCTATCAAGTGCTGTCTTTTCGAACCTTCCACACATCTATCACGTGCTGTCCTTTCGAACCTTCCACATATCTATCAAGTGCTGTCTTTTCGAACCTTCCACACATCTATCACGTGCTGTCCTTTCGAACCTTCCACATATCTATCACGTGTTGTCTTTTCGAACCTTCCACATATCTATCACGTGCTGTCCTTTCGAACCTTCCACATATCTATCACGTGCTGTCTTTTCGAACCTTCCACATATATCTATCACGTGTTGTCTTTTCGAACCTTCCAAACACATATGTCACGTACTGTATGCACGATCCTCAAATACGAATAGAGGACTTGCTGTGTATCCGAACCTGCCCACGTGTACCTTACGTCAGTCAGTATAATGCATGCTGTGTTTCCCAACATTCCACTCGCGTTATACAATTGTGATAATCACTTGCTGTATCTGACATGCGCTGTCACCATGTGTCGTATTTTCATAATCACCTCCTATATCTGACGTAAGGTGTCGTATTTTCACCATCATGTGCTGTATCTTACATGCGCCCTCACCATTCTTCGTATTTTCACCATCACCAAGTTTATATGACATGCGCTGTCACAATCTCTCCTATTTTCATAATCACCTTCCACGCATATCTATTACGTGCTGTCTTTTCGAACCTTCCACATATCTATCACATGCTGTCTTTTCGAACCTTCCTCATATCTACCACGTGCTGTCTTTTCGAACCTTCCACATATATCTATCACGGGTTGTCTTTTCTAACCTTCCACATATGTATCACGTGCTGTCTTTTCAAACCTTCCACATATCTACCACGTGTTGTCTTTTCCAACTTCCCATACATATCTACCACGTGCTGTATTTTCGAACCTTCCACATATATCTATCACGGGTTGTCTTTTCAAACCTTCCACATATATCTACCACGTGGTGTCTTTTCGAACTTTCCACACATAGCTATCACGTGCTGTATTTTCGAAACTTCCACACATATCTATCACGGGCTGTCTTTTCGATCCTTCCACACATATCTAACACGTGCTGTATTTTCGAACCTTCCACATATATCTACCACGTGGTGTCTTTTCGAACCTTCCACATATATCTATCACGTGGTGTCTTTTCGAACCTTCCGTAATCGCATCCTATATCTGACATAAGGTGTCGTATTTTCACCATCACCTACTGTATCTGACATCCGCTATCACCATGTGTCGTATTTTATTAATCATCTCCTGTTTCTGACATGCGCTGTCACCATGCGTCGTATTTTCATAATCAACTGCTGTTTGCGATATGCGCTGACCTCTGGACCCATGAGTCTCTCGCTGAGGTACTAAGGTTTCCAATCCCCAATCGCGTCTCTATCTAGCATGTGCTGTGTAGGCTGTGTGTTTTGTTGTAGCCCGTCCCTTTTGTCCAACACGCGACACGTTGCCACCACATGCAGTATTTATTTACAAACTGCTCGTCATGTCTAACATGCGATGTGTTTTCGAATATTTACCCTTTTCGAACCGTCCACTCGTATCTAGTACGTTTTCGAACCGCCACGGCACATTAAAGGGCACGCTGCGCTTGTCCTTTCACCTGTCTCCATCAGGAACTGTGTTTTCGAATCGACCACCCGCATCACAGGACGTGCTGTGATTGAAAACGCTATGTTTCCGAACATTCCACCTGCATATAGCATATGCATAGTTTTCATCCCCGACCACATACATATCTAGAAAGTGTTGTGTTCTTCACCCCGTCCCTTTGTGTACATATAAACCACGGGCTGTGTTTTTCAACACGCCATTTCCAAACGTATGTGCTGTATTTTCCGCTACCCGAAATTGCACGTTCTCTGTCGTCACACCGTCCACTCTCATTTATCACAGCTGTTTTTATCCACTAGTATTTAGCACAACCCTTGTTGTCTAATCGTCCACTCACATCAAGCACGTGACGTGTTTTTGAACCATCCAACCCTTATTCAGCAGTGCTGTGTTTTCGAACAGTCCAATTGTTTGCATACTGCCACGAAGCAAAGGTCAACCAACTGTCTGGTAACACTATGGGTTTTTTTCGAACGGGAACGATTGGTAGGCTCCTATTGGTAAATGAATCTACTTCACCTGTATCCAACACCTGGCGCTCACCCTCATGGTTACCCTAAATCTGATACCAAAATAACCCGAATAACACTGAATAAATCTCACAACAGGTTGACGCGAATGAACAATGAATGTTGTCATCAAATAAACACTTGAAGATGAACGATGGAACACGAGCAGCAGTTTGGGGGAAACATGATGCGTGACCCCACCATCTCTTTAAGTTCACTGACAAAATATGAAAGCATGATTTATGGGTGTTTCAATGCTGTGTAGAACTATGGTGACAATTATATAGGGGGCTATGTAGTTAGGGTTGTGGAGCTGACTTACCTGCTACGAGACTTACCTGCAGCCAGGGCAGGCCCACACCAGCCGGGAGACTTGCCGGATAAATACAGTACACTCCTGAACAAAGCAACCACAGCAGATTCATTACACGGTGGTGTTTTGTTCAACAGAGAAGCGGGTGGGTGCCACGCGAGAGGAGGCGGCGCGGGCCGGAAAAAGCTGCATGTCAATTCATTTAGTTCAGTCTTGAGTGTTTTGAATAATTACTTAACATTCAGCAGGTATATCTCATGTGTCCGTATACACCTGTACTGTCACTGTCTCTCCTGTATCCGCCTGCACCTGTACTGTCACTGCCTCTCCTGTGTCCGCCTACACCTGTTCTGTCACTGTCTCTACTGTGTACTGTCATTGTCTCGCCGGTGTCCTCCTACACCTGTACTGTCAATGTCTCTCCTGTGTCCGCCTACACCTGTACTGTCACTGTCTCTCCTGTATCCGCCTGTACCCGTACTGTCACTGTCTCTCCTGTGTCCGCCTAACCCTGAACTGTCATTGTCTCTCCTGTGTCCGCCTAACCCTGAACTGTCATTGTCTCTCCTGTGTCCGCCTAAACCTGTTGTGTCATTGTCTCTCCTGTGTCCGCCTACACCTGTTGTGTCATTGTCTCTCCTGTGACCCTGCACCTGGACTGTCATTGTCTCTCCTGTGTCCGCCTACACATGTTGTGTCATTGTCTCTCCTGTGTCCCCTGCACCTGTACTGTCATTGTCTCTCCTGTGTCCGCCTACACCTGTTCTGTCACTGTCTCACCTGTGTCCCCTGCACGTGTATTGTCACTGTCTCTCCTGTGCCCGCCTACACCTGTACTGTCACTGTCTCTCCTGTGTTAGCCTGCACCTGTACTGTCACTGTCTCTCCCTTGTCCGCCTACACCTGTACTGTCACTGTCTCTCCTGTGCCCGCCTGCACCTGTACTGTCATTGTCTCGCCTATGTCCCCCTGCACATGTACTGTCACTGTCTCTCCTGTGCCCGCCTACACCTGTACTGTCACTATCTCTCCTGTGTCCGCCTACACCTGTTCTGTCACTGTCTCTCCTGTGTCCGCCTACACCTGTTCTGTCACTGTCTCTCCTGTGCCCACCTACACATGTAGTGTCACTGTCTCTCCTGTGTCCGCCTAAAACTGTTCTTTCACTGTCTCTCCTGTGTCCGCCTACACCTGTTTTGTCACTGTCTCTCCTGTGCCCGCCTACACCTGTTCTGTCACTGTCTCTCCTGTGTCCGCCTACACCTGTAGTGTCACTGTCTCTCCTGTGTCAGCCTACACCTGTTCTGTCACTGTCTCTCCTGTGCCCCCCTACACCTGTTCTGTCACTGTCTCTCCTGTGTCCGCCTAAAACTGTTCTTTCACTGTCTCTCCTGTGTCCGCCTACACCTGTACTTTCAGTGTCTCTCCTGTGTCCGCCTACACCTGTTCTGTCACTGTCTCTCCTGTGTCCGCCTACACCTGTTCTGTCACGGTCTCTCCTGTGTCCGCCTACACCTGTTCTGTCACGGTCTCTCCTGTGTCCGCCTACACCTGTTCTGTCACTGTCTCTCCTGTGTCCGCCTAAACCTGTTCTGTCACTGTCTCTACTGTGTACTGTAACTGTCTCTCCTGTGCCCGCCTAAACCTGTTCTGTCACTGTCTCTCCTGTGTCCGCCTACACCTGTTCTGTCACTGTCTCTCCTGTGTCCGCCTAAACCTGTTCTGTCACTGTCTCTCCTGTGCCCACCTACACCTGTTCTGTCACTGTCTCTCCTGTGTACTGTCACTGTCTCTCCTGTGCCCGCCTACACCTGTACTGTCACTGTCTCTCCTGTCTTAGCCTGCACCTGTTCTGTCACTGTCTCTCCCTTGTCCGTCTACACCTGTACTGTCATTGTCTCGCCTATGTCCCCCTGCACATGTACTGTCACTGTCTCTCCTGTGTCCGCCTACACCTGTTCTGTCACTGTCTCTCCTGTGTCCGCCTACACCTGTACTGTCACTGTCTCTCCTGTGTTAGCCTGCACCTGTACTGTCACTGTCTCTCATGTGTACTGTTACTGTCTCTCCTGTGCCCGCCTAAACGTGTACTGTCATTGTCTCACCTGTGTCCGCCTGCACCGCTATTGTCACTGTCTCTCCTGTGTACTGTCACTGTCTCTCCTGTGTTACCCTACACCTGTACTGTCATTGTCTCTCCTATGTCCGCCTGCACCTGTACTGTCATTGTCTCTCCTGAATCCGCCTACATGGGTACTGTCATTGTCTCTCCTGTGTCCGCCTAAACCTGTGCTGTCTCTGTCTCTCCTGTGTTAGCCTGCACCTGTACGGTCACTGTCTCTCCTGTGTACTTTCATTGTCTCTCCTGTGTCCGCCTGCACCTGTACTGTCACTGTCTCTCATGTGTACTGTCACTGTCTCTCCTGTGTTAGCCTTTACCTTTACTGTCATTGTCTCTCCTGTGTTAGCCTGCACCTGTACTGTCATTGTCTCTCCTGTGTACTGTCATTTTCTCTCCTATGTCCGCCTGCACCTGTACTGTCACTGTCTCTCCTGTGTACTGTCACTGTCTCTCCTGTGTTAGCCTGCACCTGTACTGTCACTCTCTCTCCTGTGTACTGTCAATGTCTCTCCTGTGTCCGCCTACACCTGTACTGTCACTGTCTCTCCTGTGTTAGCCTGCACCTGTACTGTCATTGTCTCTCCTATGTCCGCCTGCACCTGTACTGTCATTGTCCCTCCTGTATCCGCCTAAACCTGTACTGTCACTGTCTCTCCTGTGTCCGCCTACACCTGTACTGTCACTGTCTCTCCTGTGTCCGCCTAAACCTGTACTGTTATTGTCTCTCCTGTGTCCGCCTAAACCTGCACTGTCACTGTCTCTCCTGTGTTAGCCTGCACCTGTACTGTCACTGTCTCTCTTGTGTACTGTCACTGTCTCTCCTGTGTCCGCCTAAACCTTTACTGTCACTGTCTCTCCTGTGTTAGCCTGCACCTGTACTGTCACTGTCTCTCCTGTGTACTGTAATTGTCTCTCCTTTTTTAGCCTACACCTGTACTGCCACTGTCTCTCCTGTGTACTGTCACTGTCTCTCCTGTGTCCGCCTAAACCTGTACTGTCACTGTTTCTCCTGTGTCCGCCTGCACATGTACTGTCACTGTCCCTCCTGTGCCCGCCTACACCTGTTCTGTCAATGTCTCTCCTGTGTACTGTCACTGTCTCTCCTGTGTCCGCCTGCACCTGTACTGTCACTGTCCCTCCTGTGTCCGCCTACACCTGTACTGTCACTGTCTTTCCTGTGTCCGCCTAAACCTGTACTGTCATTGTCTCTCCTGTGTCCGCCTAAACCTGCACTGTCACTGTCTCTCCTGTTAGCCTGCACCTGTACTGTCACTGTCTCTCCTGTGTACTGTCGCTGTCTCCCTGTGTCCGCCTAAACCTTTACTGTCACTGTCTCTCCTGTGTTAGCCTGCACCTGTACTGTCACTGTCTCTCCTGTGTACTGTAATTGTCTCTCCTTTTTTAGCCTGCACCTGTACTGCCACTGTCTCTCATGTGTACTGTCACTGTCTCTCCTGTGTCCGCCTAAACCTGTACTGTCACTGTCTCTCCTGTGTCCGCCTGCACCTGTACTGTCACTGTCCCTCCTGTGCCCGCCTACACCTGTTCTGTCAATGTCTCTCCTGTGTCCGCCTACACCTGTACTTTCACTGTCTCTCCTGTGTTAGCCTGCACCTGTACTATCACTGTATCTCATGTGTACTGTTACTGTCTCTCCTGTGCCCGCCTAAACGTGTACTGTCACTGTCTCTCCTGTGCCCGCCTACTCCTGTACTGTCACTGTCTCTCCTGTGTTAGCCTGCACCTGTACTGTCACTGTCTCTCCCTTGTCCGCCTACACCTGTACTGTCACTGTCTCTCCTGTGCCCGCCTGCACCTGTACTGTCATTGTCTCGCCTATGTCCCCCTGCACATGTACTGTCACTGTCTCTCCTGTGCCCGCCTACACCTGTACTGTCACTATCTCTCCTGTGTTCGCCTGCACATGTACTGTCACTGTCTCTCCTGTGACCGCCTACACCTGTACTGTCACTATCTCTCCTGTGTTCGCCTGCACCTGTACTGTCACTGTCTCTCCTGTGTACTGTCAATGCCTCTCCTATGTCCACCTGCACCTGTACTGTCATTGTCTCTCCTGTGTACTGTCATTGTCTCTCCTGTGTTAGCCTGCACCTGTACTGTCATTGTCTCTCCTGTGTCCGCCTGCACCTGTACTGTCATTGTCTCTCCTGTATCCGCCTACACGGGTACTGTCACTGTCTCTCCTGTGTCCGCCTAAACCTATACTGTCATTGTCTCTCCTGTGTACTGTCACTGTCTCTCCTGTGTCCGCCTACACCTGTACTGTCACTGTCTCTCCTGTGTACTTTAATTGTCTCTCCTTTTTTAGCCTGCACCTGTACTGTCACTGTCTCTCCTGTGTACTGTCACTGTCTCTCCTGTGTCCGCCTAAACGTGTACCGTCATTGTCTCTCCTGTGTTAGCCTACACCTGTACTGTCACTGTCTCTCCTGTGTACTGTAATTGTCTCTCCCTTTTAGCCTGCACCTGTACTGTCACTGTCTCTCCTGTGTACTGTCACTGTCTCTCCTGTGTCCGCCTACACCTGTACTGTCACTGTCTCTCCTGTGTCCGCCTACACCTGTAGTGTCACTGTCTCTCCTGTGCCCACCTACACCTGTACTGTCACTGTCTCTCCTGTGTCCATCTACACCTGTAGTGTCACTGTCTCTCCTGTGTCCGCCTACACCTGTAGTGTCACTGTCTCTCCTGTGTCCGCCTACACCTGTTCTGTCACTGTCTCTCCTGTGTCCGCCTACACCTGTACTGTCACTGTCTCTCACGTGTACTGTTACTGTCTCTCTTGTGCCCGCCTAAACGTGTACTGTCATTGTCTCTCCTGTGTTAGCCTACACCTGTACTGTCACTGTCTCTCCTGTGTCCGCCTACACCTGTACTGTCATTGTCTCACCTGTGTACTGTCATTGTCTCTCCTGTATCCGCCTACACTGGTACTGTCATTGTCTCTCCTGTAAACTTAACAAACAGGACCACGTCCAAACGAGCGAAAACGACCCAGAGTCAAGATACGTGAAACGGATTTCACCTGTTTTGCACCTGTCTTGGGTTATATCTTGCAATGTGTATTCAAGTCTTCGCCTAGTGCCCACCTTAAATATGTTTATGTCCTTATGTAGAACAACAGACCTTTAGTTTAGCCTTGATATTATTACGCAGATACCTAAGCAGATGAGCACAATATTGGTCATTAATGGTGTGACCGTTCGGGAACAGAACAGAATAGACTTTGCCTTCTTCAGAGGAGATGTTTCTACTTCTTTGACAGTTGTTTAGTCTCTGGCTGATAGTGGTGAAGCCAACACTAATCCATGGTTACAAATCAGCTGGATCTGCTTCAAAACGAAGTAAATTCTCTCGAGAGATGACGAACGTTGAGTGTCTCTGATCGGGAGTCCAAAGCCTTGGAACCCAGCAAGCTGAAACCTTTGTCATGCACAGACCATTCCTCAGAACGTTGGCAACTCATGAGACATGCCTACTGTATTGGCTAGGTGAAGTGTTGTGAGTCGTCGATCATCCATA